ACTTATTATTTTTGTTGGTAAATATTTCAAATATGTTAATTAATTGATACAATTTAAACGAAATAACAAAGAAAAATTAAAGGATTAATATTTAATGAAAAGGTTATTTGCTTGAAAATTTTTAACAATAACAAATCCAGGTTATTTTTTTCCTTTTAATTGTTTTTATTCAGGTTTTGATTTATATGAGATATTGAATTAACAGTTACGTAAGGTGATGAAACGAGGCTGTAATATGTATGCAAAATATGTGCTTCGTATTCTAAATTCCAACCCATAATTTTTACAATTACTTCTTCTGTTTATTCCATTTTTATCTTCGAATCTGTAAATTTTATCGAATTAGAAATAAAATCGTTCCTGTTGTCGCTGCAAACCTTACCACTCGCAACCCGACCAATAACACGAAGGTGACAAACAAGTTTTCTATCGGATCCGAGTTAATAAAGTTCAAAGATGTCCGCTGTTGAATTTACAGAAAGATAATCTTGTTTAATCTCATAAATTTTACAGGTTAGTTATTGTATATTATTTTAAAATACTCTTTCTATTTTATTTTATCACTAGTTACAAGAATAAAGCGTGACATATTTTAAAGGTTAAGCAACAAATTGATTCGGAAATGGATATAGACGACCTATTAAAGTTATTACAGTGACGAATGCAATTATTGTTTCATAGTGTATATCTATATATATATATATAGAAGCGAAATTATTCTCTGGTTGTCAAACCAGCATTTCAATCATACAGGTAAATTAAAACGAGTTCAGACATTAATAATAATAATAATTTCATAAATATTGATATTAATTTAGTTTTACAGACGTTAAGTTAATATTAAGGAAACACTTATATTTTTGTATCGTTTATAATCCATGTATATGCATAGAGTTGTAGAAAAGTATAGGAAAATTTCGTTTCTAGGAAGTACCTGTGACTTTGACCTATATGCTTTGACAGCAAAATAACAGGAATATCTGGGTTTCTATCACCTGTGAAATATTTTTCCGATTTAAAAAGTCGATAATATTTAATTATATTTATTAATTTTTTTATAGAAGATATTGTTCTGTGTTTAAGAATTGTTTAAAATGCGTGTTTATGTTTTTCTAATCGTGCTAACTTATTTTTTAATATAATTAAACATCTGCTGATCTTTTCGTTAAAAAATGATGACGTTTTCAGAACTTCATGAATAATTCAAGTGTAGCATTATTTAAAAAGTATATTCTGTAAAAATATTTAATATTCCATGTAACTATAGAGCTAGTTAATTCGTTTTTACTATAAATCGAATGGTAGGTAACCTTGGGAACAATACTTTAAGTTATGTTGCCTGAGCCTTAAAATAGTTTTAACTTTTCAATTCGTCAGTTTGTTAAAATTCGATATTTTTAAAACTCTTATATAGTGAACGATAGAGAGATTTTATTTCCGATAAATGTTTCAGGTTCACATGGTCTGATACACACACACACACACACACTTTAGGGAAGCCTCACCGTTCACAAATTGTCCATAAACAAGCCTCCAAGTGTGAAAAATGCAAACAGTATTTTTAATTCTATAATTTAAAACTGATGAAAAATATGCTTTGTATTTAATCTACTTAAAGGTATCACGTTCTATTTATATCTGATTTATGTTTAGTTTTAACTAGTTTCGTTTCTATATAAGGTTTATAAAGTGAACTTATGATGAAAAACTAGACTTGTTTTGTTTTGTGGATGCATATTTTTTTTTAATGAATTTATATAGGTTATACCTTCATTTCTTTCTTTTATTAACAGTTAATGCCATGGCCGAACTACAACGAATTTCTCATATCGCAGAAGATCAAGCGGCGCCTGTTGGAATCGTCAATATCGCTTTTAAACACGATGAACCTTCAAAGGAATCGTCTCCTCCGATTATTAACGAGAAGCCCGTTCAATTATCAAAAGAAGAGAAGAGACAAAAAAAATTATCTATTTTTAAAAATTTACTTGTTTTAAGTTTTGGTTTTCTACTGTTATTCACAGCTTTCCAGTCTCTGTCTAATCTACAGAGTAGTATAAACAGTGCCAAAGGATTAGGAACTGCATCCTTAAGTGTTATATATGGTGCTTTGGTTTTATCCTGCATGTTTCTTCCGACATTTATGATAAAATTGCTTACCTTAAAATACACGTTAATAGTGTCGATGCTGATGTATTCGTCTTATATGGCTGCTAACTTTTATCCGGATTGGGGTACTCTGATACCAACTTCCATCATTTTAGGACTCGGAGGAGCACCTTTGTGGACATCAAAATGCTCTTATTTGACACATATCTCGATAGAATATGCTCAGTTAACAGGCAACAAAGTCGAAACAATAGTCACTCGGTTTTTTGGAATATTTTTTATGGTATTTCAAAGCGGACAAGTGTGGGGAAATTTGATAGCTTATAAAGTACTTCAACCTGGAAATGTTTCTTCGATCAACGAATCGTTAATATCTGGATGCGGTGCTAATTTTTGTGTTGCGGAATCATCAACGAATAATACAAATCTCGAAAGACCATCGGATTTTAAAATCTATCTTCTGTGTGGAATTTATACTGGATGTTCCTTATTAGCAGCACTCTTTATTTTCATCTTCCTTGATCCCCTGAAAAAATCGGAAGATGGAAAAGGTAAACCTTCGTACGGATTACTTATCGAAACTATGAGGCATCTCAAAAATCCTCATCAAGTTCTTTTGGTGCCATTAACAATATTTAGTGGTCTAGAACAGGCTTACATTATTGGGGACTTTACTCAGGTTAGTACATTCTTATTTAATAATTACTATAAACTTAGACGTTTAGAAAAATGCACAGATGTTTCTAAATTTAATTAAATGCTTTACAGTTTAAGTTTTTAAATTACTTTTTTTGAACTATGTTATAAAAGCATTCATTTACAAAAAAGGCGAAAACAATTTCGAAGCCATTTTTTAAAATTAAATCTACAAATTATGTAAAAATCTGCAACAAAATATTGTTTCTTAAGAGATTTTTATGTATACTTTTTGCTTTATTCTGCATTTTCAAGTCTGAATAACATGCATTCTTCGTATTTTGTAGAATAGATGGCATTCAAATTATAAGATCTGGAATTAAAAATGCCCTTAAAGAAGAATATTTATATGCATATTTATACAATTCAGACACAAATTGACACAAATTTTGAAATATTGACTTCACTGGCTGTTCTGACTATTGAAATATGTAGCCTATTATATAATTAAAAATAAAATAAAATTCAACTTAGAGATAGAACTGTCATTAGTTTACAAAAATACAATTATTTATAAAATGTTGTTAATTACTTAGATTTAAAATAAAAATAGCACTTGTATCAACTCTTTTACATAAAAATTATATAATATGCCTCATAACGTATTTTATAAATATGTATTCTTATTAAAAACTATTGTATTTTTAAATGCTACATATTGCACTGCATATATATATAGAAACACTATATTATTATACTATGCTAAAGAACGAAAATCGACCTTTATCAACATTTTATATACAGCAAAACCTGTGTAAATCCGTTTTTAAAAGATTTTTCCGTTTAGGTAGGTTTATGTTTTGGACAGGTTTTACTCTACCTTAATCTATGTTCAATGCTATTTATTATACTCATAAAAGTAATTGGCTAATACTTTCATATCTTGAATATGATTTTTTTCTTCAATTTTTTATAGGCTTTCGTTAGTTGTTCTTGGGGTATACACAACGTTGGTTACGTAATGATCTGTTTTGGTGTGATGGATGCTCTGGGTTCTGTGACTCTTGGTCATCTGTCTAAAATAACAGGAAGAAAAATCATTTTTATAGCAACGGCACTTTCTAACGTTGGAATTATAATTCTCATGTTTCTTTGGTCCCCTAATCCCGATCAAAAAGTAGTTTTCTTCGTCATCTCTGGATTTTGGGGATTAGGAGATGCCGTTTGGCAAACACAAATTAATTGTAAGTATATAAGAAATGTATATTATATGTAGGCTTATGTTTATATATATTATATTTTAATGGACTTGGCCATCATTACTATTACTTCTATGTTAAAATATTAATTATTTTTTCCCTCCTACAGCATTGTATGGTGTATTATTTCCGAAAAACGAAGAAGCAGCTTTTGCTAATTACCGTTTATGGGAATCTCTGGGATTTATTATAGCCTTCGCCTACAGTAGTTCACTATGCATAACAATAAAATTGTATATTTTATTAATTGTACTCGTTGTAGGAATGATGGGATATTTAACTATAGAAATTCGAATTTCAACTGTAAAAAAGAACGAAATTTCATCAGAAACGAAAATGCATAGTAGTGAAAAGTAAGCAGAAAAGAATACAGCAATTATATTATGTAGGTGAACATTGTTTTCAATCTCTCAACCGTTTCATTCATTGTACAGGGTATGTATACAGATAAATACTAAAACTAACCATTCCAATGTTTCTAAAATCGTCCGTAAAGATCGCATTTTCTTGTAAATATGCTATTTTAAAAAAAGGTTTTGTCAAAATAAAAATTAATTTTTAAGTGTTTACCTCTTTTTTTTTCTTCTTTAAATGTTTATTTCGTAATTTCAAATGTTAAAACCTAAGAATATTTGTATAGTCACGTTAATTCAAATATTTATGCTTTATTAATGCATATTTTATGCTTAAAATATAAACATACACAATAAAATATTCGCATTTACTGAAGAAGAGATGTTTTAAATAAAAATAATGAACCTATTATATTTCTTTCTTTTATTCTTGTTTTCCAGAATATATTAGAAATAAAATACAATATTATGATTTAAAAAGTCTATATATCCAAATAATATTTTTATTAATATAAAATTAGTAACTATTATTCAGTTGGAAAGAACTTGTTTAAATAAAGGTAAACAACAAAAAAAATGGAAATTAGCTATTTTATTTTGTCACAAAAACATTTACTTTCGTTTTTGATTCTTTCCTCCTGTGGGCTCTATAAGGGCCTTTTTCTATACTTATCGTGGGTTTGGCCGGGCCCTAATATACGGGACGAACTGCTCCTGAAAAATTCCTGAGGATTACTCACCCCGATTCGATTCCGGACATCCCAGAGGGTAGGCTGAAGTCTTAACCGACTTTTTACATTTGACAAACTAATATCGGCGTTTCTGTTCTAATACTGAATAATTATGAATTTATTTTCTTAGAGATATACATATAATTATTTTATATCCGGATTTTTTGAATTTGAATGTATTTAAAAATTTTTGTCAAGTTCAATCAATGGATATGCAATGATCTGTTACGTTCTATTTTGAGAGATTCTATATTTCTTTATTAGCATTTGATGTAAGATATGTTAAAAAAAAGAAAAAAAATCAATGTTTGACTAAATGGCTTGTAATTTTTTTTATTAGAGGTAAATCTTTATATTTTTCGTGCCCGATGACTCTAAAAATTTATAGAAAGATAACCTGTTTGACACGATGATAAACAACTTTTAGCGTTTGTTTTCGTGTCAGTTTTATTTATTGTAATGGGGGAGGAAGTAGTTTTACATCTATGTCAAGTCCTCAATCTTCAAAATGTCATAAAACAATAAAAAAAAAATATCGACAGTTACGTGAACTAAATTATCGAAAATATTAAAAAGCAGATGGGTGATTTTATTTGTATAAAAATTGAAAATTGTGATATAAATGAATTCCATTCGTCATATTATATAAGTAAAATTAAGAAATGCTGATCCAAAACATCTCAATCTGCCAAATTTCGTATTCTTTTGAACAGAAACTTGCTATAAATAAATTTGTAAAAATCTAGTTCATATTTTGAATTCAGATTATAACTTCACTGGAAAAAAAAAATGTACATGAACTTTATCCTATATNTTATATTATATAGCCTAGAGGAAATGTTCCATAATTCCTAATTCGTTTTATTACTATAACTTCTTTATTATTAAAGCTAAAATTATTATTTCTTTTAAACAGAAAAATATTCTTTGATTAATTGTTCAAGCAATCTCTTTGTTAGAAGCAATTAAAACATTTTTGTAAAGAGCACTTCTGAAATTAGCAAACAGTATCAAAAATGAGGGCTTGGAAAAAAAAAAATTTCTCCAAATTCGAACCTCCAAACATTTTTTGTTTGAAAATGCCAGTAGTTATTTTAAAATATAATCAAATAATTTCTTAAAATTTTCAAATTTACAATAATTAAAAAAAATTGTTTGCTTTTGACAATGGCAGATTGAGGACTTTGGAGATGCTCCTCATTGCTCAACAGTGAGACTCTTATTGTGAAAATAGAAAATATGAAACTTTTTAAGCTAAAAAAAAAAAACTGATTTTTTCACTAAAATCAGCTTAATCTCTTAATTTTCTTCTTAGTATAGAATAAAATAGAATTGAAAAGGAGATTTATTTAAACTTTTTAAATTATTAAATCACAAAACGTTTCTTAAAATTATAGCAAAATATCTCAGCTTTTTAGAAATCCTTCTCACTTGTAAACTGTACCAATCAATAAATTTGCCGTTGGATTTTGATATTTTTGTCAGTGATTACAATATTACATTTTCAATTTTAT